GGATGGAGGGAAGTAGACGGTAGAGACGAGGACTCCAGGCCAAGTACACAGAGCTAAAGCAGACGTCTCACACTGACGGCCAGTGTACCTAGTTTGCACAATGTTTTCATTTCTTTTTTTTTTCTAGATGAACCAACATCCTCAAAATATCAGACCTTGTGTGGAAACAGAAATGTCTGGATCCTCTTAGAAAATTGGAAGACCTAGACCTACATTCCTGCATAGTGACAATCAGCTACAGCAGCATGTTCCATGCTCCGTGGGTGAAGTAGACCCTGGAAAACAGAAACAGAAACAAAACAAACAAACAAAACAACCAACATACCCCTGCACACGATAAAAGATTTATCTGCTCAGATGCCTCAAATTCTGCAACTAGCCAGATGCGCACGGTAAAGCCAACTGAAATGGTGAGAAGTTTTGCTGTCAGAACTTGGCTCCCCTGAGCCCCCATCTTCTCTTCTGTAGATGGGGTAGTGACGCTGCTATCTATCTTCACGGGATTAACTCAAGACTGTTTTTTAAAATGTTATTTGAGTGACAGTATCGAGTACATACCAAATTGCATGGCCCTAGCTTTTCTTGGTTCATTCTTTTGTGTTAAATAGTATCTACGCGATGCTCCCTCTTTTAAAATACAAGCATAGATGGATGGGTAATATATTGAGTTACGAATGCATAATAACACCTAGGAGAATACAAGGATGGCTGTGGGCCGGTGGGGGCCCCTAGCCATGAACCCCACACTCACATTCTTGGGTTTCCCTAGCCCACACCTTCCTATTTTAGGTCTCTCCCAGGATCCTTTGGTGGTTCCTGAAAACTCAATGTGTTTCATTTCTGAGTTCCCTTCCACTGCCCCATCATTTAAAGTCATTCTTGGGAGATATGAACCTTACTAATCCATTCTCTAGGATCCATTCTAAGCCGACTGAATCCATCCATGGATGGCATAGGAAAAAGTTTGGCAGAGATTTGCCTGCCTTCCTTCCTTCCTTCCTCCCTCCCTTCTTCTTGCCTCTCTTTTCTTACCTCCTTTTTTCTTTCTTTCTTTCAATTAGAAACAAATCCAAGCCTGACTACAGTGGTTCATACCTGTAACCTCAGCACTTTGAGAGGCCTAGGTGGGAGGATGGCTCGAGCCCAGGAATAGACCTGCCTGGGCAACACAGTGAGACCTGTCAAAAAGGAAAAA